AAAACTGCTATCTCGGATTTTCAAAATTTTGGGTTTTTGACCCCAAAAAAATTGATTTTTTAGGAAAACTTTAAAAAAAAAATCCAAAAATTTTCCGAATTTCGAAAAAAACGGAATATATGTGATAGTCCCTGCGCTCTTCTATCTACATACCAAATTTCAGATCGATATCTCGTTTTTTGGCCAAGTTATAGCGACTGTTCAAAACTGTTCAACTGTCCAAAAATGATGACGTCAAATTTTTGAACTCAATTTTTAGCGATTCTAGACCACGTACGGCAAAACAAAGACCACCATTGAACTCCCTGTGACGAGCTGCATCGTTTCGATACCCATTTTATGCAAAAATATCAACTTTGAAATTTGACCTGACCTTGACCTGACCTTGACCTGACCTTGACCTGACCTTGACCTGACCTTGACCTGACCTTGACCTGACCTTGACCAAAACGTGACCTAAGCTGGCCCCAAAGGCTGCCTGACCCACATAATCGCATTTGTCATGTAAAATGGACCATAAAACATGTATCACACGACACTTTCATATTGTGACCCCCCAATGACCTGACCTCTGTGACCTGACCTGGTATCAGTGACCTCAAATAGCAAAATATGTGTTTGAAGAACATTTCCCCATCGATGATTTTCAATGGAATGCATTTAACTCGAGTTTACAACGCATTTCTTGAAATGCCTGTAAACGGTGAAAATTGGACCGTTGACCTGACCTGTGACGTCATCGGTTTGACCTAGGTCAATAAATTGGGTCACAAGGTAGTTCCCTGATAGGGCTATCCAACACCGTTTGCCGCTTGTCGTTAGGTTGCGTGGTTCTCGAGATCTTAGGGGGGGGGGGCAAAATGCCCCCCCCCCCCCAACGGGGCGCGTTGCTCGGTAGAGCCCAACGGGGCGCGGGTTAAGAGACAAATTAGACATGTTATACGTAGCCAATCTCTGTACAAGCTCCACCTACAAGCCCCTCACAGGAAAACACCGTTGCTGTACAAATGTTAGTCCTTGGTGACATTTGATGACGTCACATGACCTTACAGCTGCCCTAGAGCAAAAAGGCATCAAGGTAGTCAAGGTTAATCGAATATGAAGTCATTGGTATATTAGGTCATTCCGACGCGTTTTAGTCAAAGAAATCAGGCAGTTGATTTTTCCACCATTGACTTATAATGGGGAGGTCAAGAAATAGACCTGACCTTAGGTCATCGATATCAAAATTCTGAGATAAACAAAGTATAGCTACTAATGACTATCATATCCTGCAACTTTTAAAGGACTCCGTCATCTACTGTAGCTCTGACACGGTGACGAAGCTGCAAAAAAGTGATTTGAGGTCGGGTCATTCGAAGTGGCCTGGGGACTTGACCTTGAAAGGTAGCAGTATCATACTTGCAGACAATGTGTAAAATTGATGGGTAATAATCATGCAAAATTTCGCGGCGCTTCCCCCTATTTGCGAAAAAGCTCGGGGGGGGGTTGCGGATATCCACCCCGTCGGTGCTCGAGTTAGGGAAAATGTGAGGTGCATGTTAGCGTCTGTTTGAAGTCCATGACCTGCTAGCGCCACACATGGACCCGGATGTGCCGTGCAATTTCAACAGGAGGGTGTCTCATAGCACGTGGGCTGTAGACCGACTGGGAGTAGAGAGCGCCTTATTGTTTTGACAGCTATTCAGTATTGTTGCAATTGATGTGTGCCAAATTTCATCTTAATATAAGCACTAACGTTATAGCAGCACAAACTTTTTTTCCAGAAAGTAAGTGCACTCCCGTCCTGTTTGTACTGTCTGTGTGTGGTCTGTGTACTCGGTACTGTCTGTGTATGGTCTGTGTACTCGGTACTGTCTGTGTTCTGTCTGTGTGTGGTCTGTGTACTCTGTATAGTCGAATACAGAATGATGTTCCACTCCTCAGAAGCTATCAGTTGACCGGAACGCTAAGTTGTACCGTTTATCACGCAATTAAGCGTGTCGATTGTGAGCATTGGGACAAAGCTATAATTTGTGAGCTCAGCCCGTGTGATGCGGCACAGCCTACCACTCCAGACAAATAATTGCCTGTGAAAAGTGGAACATCATTCTGTAGTCGACTATACTGTCTGTGTACGGTCTGTGACCGTGTTGGGTCTGTGTACACACGCCCCTGGTCTGTGTGTGGTCTATGTACAGTCTATGTACTGTCTGTGTACGGTTTATGTACTGTCTGTGTACTGTCTGTGTGTGGTCTGTGTACTCGGTACTGTCTGTGTACGGTCTGTGACCGTGTTGGGTCTGTGTACTCGGTGCTGTCAGTGTACGGTCTGTGACCGTGTTGGGTCTGTGTACTCGGTACTGTCAGTGTACGGTCTGTGGCCGTGTTGGGTCTGTGTACTCGGTACTGTCTGTGTACGGTCTGTGACCGTGTTGGGTCTGTGTACTCGGTACTGTCTGTGTACGGTCTGTGACCGTGTTGGGTCTGTGTACTCGGTACTGTCTGTGTACGGTCTGTGACCGTGTTGGGTCTGTGTACTCGGTACTGTCTGTGTACGGTCTGTGACCGTGTTGGGTCTGTGTACTCGGTACTGTCTGTGTACGGTCTGTGACCGTGTTGGGTCTGTGTACTCGGTACTGTCAGTGTACGGTCTGTGGCCGTGTTGGGTCTGTGTACTCGGTACTGTCTGTGTACGGTCTGTGACCGTGTTGGGTCTGTGTACTCGGTACTGTCAGTGTACGGTCTGTGGCCGTGTTGGGTCTGTGTACTCGGTACTGTCTGTGTACGGTCTGTGACCGTGTTGGGTCTGTGTACTCGGTACTGTCTGTGTACGGTCTGTGACCGTGTTGGGTCTGTGTACTCGGTACTGTCAGTGTACGGTCTGTGACCGTGTTGGGTCTGTGTACTCGGTACTGTCAGTGTACGGTCTGTGACCGTGTTGGGTCTGTGTACTCGGTACTGTCTGTGTACGGTCTGTGACCGTGTTGGGTCTGTGTACTCGGTACTGTCTGTGTACGGTCTGTGTACTGTCTGTGTACGGTCTGTGTACGGTCTGTGACCGTGTTGGGTCTGTGTACTCGGTACTGTCAGTGTACGGTCTGTGACCATGTTGGGTCTGTGTACTCGGTACTGTCTGTGTACGGTCTGTGACCGTGTTGGGTCTGTGTACTCGGTACGGTCAGTGTACGGTCTGTGACCGTGTTGGGTCTGTGTACTCGGTACTGTCTGTGTACGGTCTGTGACCGTGTTGGGTCTGTGTACTCGGTACTGTCTGTGTACGGTCTGTGTACTGTCTGTGTACGGTCTGTGTACGGTCTGTGACCGTGTTGGGTCTGTGTACTCGGTACTGTCAGTGTACGGTCTGTGACCATGTTGGGTCTGTGTACTCGGTACTGTCAGTGTACGGTCTGTGACCGTGTTGGGTCTGTGTACTCGGTACTGTCTGTGTACGGTCTGTGACCGTGTTGGGTCTGTGTACTCGGTACTGTCTGTGTACGGTCTGTGACCGTGTTGGGTCTGTGTACTCGGTACTGTCAGTGTACGGTCTGTGACCATGTTGGGTCTGTGTACTCGGTACTGTCAGTGTACGGTCTGTGACCGTGTTGGGTCTGTGTACTCGGTACTGTCTGTGTACGGTCTGTGACCGTGTTGGGTCTGTGTACTCGGTACTGTCAGTGTACGGTCTGTGACCATGTTGGGTCTGTGTACTCGGTACTGTCAGTGTACGGTCTGTGACCGTGTTGGGTCTGTGTACTCGGTACTGTCTGTGTACGGTCTGTGACCGTGTTGGGGGTACTGTCTGTGTACGGTCTGTGACCGTGTTGGGTCTGTGTACTCGGTGCTGTCTGTGTACGGTCTGTGACCGTGTTGGGTCTGTGTACTCGGTACTGTCTGTGTACGGTCTGTGACCGTGTTGGGTCTGTGTACTCGGTACTGTCTGTGTACGGTCTGTGACCGTGTTGGGTCTGTGTACTCGGTACTGTCAGTGTACAGTCTGTGACCGTGTTGGGTCTGTGTACTCGGTACTGTCTGTGTACTGTCTGTGACCGTGTTGGGTCTGTGTACTCGGTACTGTCAGTGTACGGTCTGTGACCGTGTTGGGTCTGTGTACTCGGTACGGTCAGTGTACGGTCTGTGACCGTGTTGGGTCTGTGTACTCGGTACTGTCTGTGTACGGTCTGTGACCGTGTTGGGTCTGTGTACTCGGTACTGTCTGTGTACGGTCTGTGACCGTGTTGGGTCTGTGTACTCGGTACTGTCAGTGTACGGTCTGTGACCATGTTGGGTCTGTGTACTCGGTGCTGTCTGTGTACGGTCTGTGACCGTGTTGGGTCTGTGTACTCGGTACTGTCAGTGTACGGTCTGTGACCGTGTTGGGTCTGTGTACTCGGTACTGTCTGTGTACGGTCTGTGACCATGTTGGGTCGTGTACTCGGTACTGTCTGTGTACGGTCTGTGACCGTGTTGGGTCTGTGTACTCGGTACTGTCTGTGTACGGTCTGTGACCGTGTTGGGTCTGTGTACGGTCTGTGACCGTGTTGGGTCTGTGTACTCGGTACTGTCTGTGTACTGTCTGTGACCGTGTTGGGTCTGTGTACTCGGTACTGTCAGTGTACGGTCTGTGACCGTGTTGGGTCTGTGTACTCGGTACTGTCTGTGTACGGTCTGTGACCGTGTTGGGTCTGTGTACTCGGTACTGTCTGTGTACTGTCTGTGACCGTGTTGGGTCTGTGTACTCGGTACTGTCTGTGTACGGTCTGTGACCGTGTTGGGTCTGTGTACTCGGTACTGTCAGTGTACGGTCTGTGACCGTGTTGGGTCTGTGTACTCGGTACTGTCAGTGTACGGTCTGTGACCATGTTGGGTCTGTGTACTCGGTACTGTCAGTGTACGGTCTGTGACCGTGTTGGGTCTGTGTACTCGGTACTGTCTGTGTACTGTCTGTGACCGTGTTGGGTCTGTGTACTCGGTACTGTCTGTGTACGGTCTGTGACCGTGTTGGGTCTGTGTACCGCCAGGTATACTGCGACTCGGAGCCGGACGGCCGGCCGCTGCACGAGGTACAGTACCTGGACCTGGACTTGGCCGATGCCGCCGCCGCCGCACCTGCTCCGCCACGCTCGCCGGCCAAGACGCCGCTGGGGCGCGAGGCCTCCACCGGCACCGTCTACAAAACGGTGGACTTTGTGAAGACGGAGGCCTTCAACAAGACGCGCCAGAGCGTCGAGCTGGAGCGTACTACCAAGGACGGCAGCGGACCGCTGTCCCGCAGCTCGGCCGACGTCAGCCGGCGCAGCGACGCCTGAGACAGACAGAGAGAGAGAGAGAGCCGCCGACACGGTACATATCGGACTGCCTTAGTGGCCGGCACACTGGAGGCGCCGGCCGACCGCCTCTCGGCGCGAGCTGCAGTGTGGAACGCGTGGCCGCGCTTCTGATCGACAGATGGCCGGTCAGTCGCGAAATCGCGTCCACGCCCAGGTATTACGTTTAATTGTTGTTCGTGTGTGTGCCCTGATTTTTTGTAATGGTGCTTATGTTTTGCAAAGTGCTGATCTGGCCATAGATTTGCTCAATGACCTGTCAAAAATTGGTAGTGGCGGCGGCTATGTGAGCCGACTGGCGCGGAGCGGCCGCGGGCCACTGGCCGGACCGCGGCATGGAGGTGAGAGAGAGGGAGAGAGAGAGAGAGAGAGAGAGAGAGAGAGAGAGAGAGAGAGAGAGAGAGAGAGAGAGAGAGAGAGAGAGAGAGAGAGAGAGAGAGAGAGAGAGAGCGTACGAGCGAGCGAGAGAGTAATATCGGCCCAGCGGCGCCATGTCTTTCTGGGCGGCGGCCGGACCTTGGCTGCCGTCACTAGGAAATCCAGCGCCCACGTGTACGGCTGGCTCTGCTTCAATATACTGATCGTGATCTGTCGATGCTTCGTCGAGTTATGAGCTTACGGCTAGAGACTTATGACCAGAGGCGACACCACGAATGTTCGACAGGGGGAGGACGGATCGACCGACTAAAAACCCAAAGGGTACTTTTACTTTTACTTTACGTACTTTTTTATTTCGTCATCCTTCCAACAGGCTGATGCGCCCACTTACAGGAAGGTTCCTGCTCGTCCTCTTCCTTACCTCTCCCCGTAGCCTACGGCCAACGTGGGAGGCCAGTGCCACCCCACTCCTGGTGACACAGCTGGGCACTGTAACTAGCTACTTAATTAGTAAACACATATTTATTGAAGGCCAGAGACATTGCTGTATGTACAGCTGTAACATCACCTTCAAAAATGTCATTTTCGTTTTACTATTTTAAGTTCGCTAAAATTTAAAAAGAGAAGTAGCGCGTGCGACCATGCAGAGTCTACTTCTGATGTAATTTTAGATTAGCTCATTACATCCATTACATCCACTGAACTCTAATATATACTGGAAGGAGCATTGGTGACTTGTTTTTGTCTATCGATTTCCGCCATGTTGTGTATACCAGAAATATAAATTGCATGTACGGTAGCAGAGGTGCAGTTAAGTAAGAGGTACACTACTCAAAAGTGCTGCTGCTTTCTGCTTGCAGTTTGATTGCAGTGATCAACTTTTCAAGACTTTGGTATACACAACATGGCGGAAATCGTTAGACATTCTGGCCCATATACGGCCAAGGCGAGTGCCTCCCCCTGATTACATCTACCTTCCTCCTTTTTTTACCAGGCAAGTAAATACTTTTTAACAACAAGTAAACCTACCACTGTCGATCTATAGCATCATCTACCCTGACACACTGAATGACAATCGAGTCTGAATGTTGCACCGTTCTTCGACACTAACAATCGGTGATGATTGGCTGTAACGATGCATTTTCAGCATGGGCTGAACCTGTTCGGCTTTCTCCGTTCTCTTAGCGATCTTCTTGGTGCTTCGCGTTAGCGTTTGCATGTGTTATCGGACTGATCCTTACTTCCTGGGGCTAGAGTCCAGAATCCACTCATCGCTTTTGTCAGAAAGTTCTGTGCTGGTTCGCTCCCGGCTCCGGTGAGTCCGGCTGGGCGTTGACAGGACCCACGTTCAGGAGGTAGGTATCTTGAACTTCTCACAGTTTCGCGATACTGTGCTTTTCTCCTCGCCGTGCAATGACTCGGGTGTTGCTTGTGGCTACTACTGTGTGTGGACTGGGGCCCACGGGGGAGAGGAGGTAAATGACGTCTGCTTAAAGGGACTATCCCACCTTCTAAAATGTTGTTAAAACCAGTTAAATTGTGCCCGACTTTATACATAAGATGACCAGGAACACGGTTCTGGCATTTATTTTTCATTAAACATCTTAGGCTTCCCATATTCCAAACACAAACTTTCAAATATGTGACGTCACAGCCCAAAATTACCTCCTTCCCCAGGCCACATTACTGTCATAAAGCTGATTCTTTTTACTCTGTAGGCACCACAACAAAGTTCAGACCAAGTTTTAAGCGATTTTTCAACGAACAAACCCATTTAAATCAGAATGACTAAACGAGGTGACGTCACACTAACGGTCGCTCCATGTTGAAGATAGGGCCTTGTACAAGGCCCATTTTCAAATGAAGGGAACGAATTTCTTCAACACCAAGAGGCCGCGGGGGTTGCAACCTAGATAGATAGTGGTTTCTGAACTTCGCCGCAAACTTGGCTATCTCAACTCAAACCCCATGTTAAAGGTGGGATAGTCCCTTTAAGGAGCACTTTGTCACCGACCCTGATCGGCTTTTCTTGTGCGCGTCTTCTCTTGTCAGCGTATGCGTTCTGTCTTGCCTTCTTCTCTTCCTCGCGCATCTTCACTTCATCATGCAGCTTCCCCTGTGCGTCCGGAATAAGGCAGGGAAGCTTTACACGCACCTTTCTTCCCATCAAGAGCTCGGCGGGGGCAGCGCCTGGTGGTAGAATGCGGTGTAGCTCGGTAAGCCATCAGCCAAGCGTTTATTTCTCTTTTTTCGCTGGTTTTCTCGGCTTGAGCCACATGAATTATCTTCGTCAGAGAAGACATCATTTTCTCAGCCAGTCCGTTTGCCTGCGGATGGCCAGGTGTGATCATTTCTTATTTGAAGCAGCTTGTCTCTGCATATCGCTTCCATTCATACCAGTTGAACGGCGGGCCCCCGTCGTGAATAACGACTTCCGGTACCCCATGCCGCGCCCAGATTCCGTCCAGTTGCGGTGTACCCGCGTCCAACTTTGTTGACTTTACACGGGTCACCTCAGGGAACCGACTGTACAGATCTACAATGACTAAACAGTAGTGTCCTCGCGGGCCACCAATAGGACCCTTGAAGTCGGCTACTACGGCGTGCCAGGGTCTCGGAGGCAGCGGCCTCGCCATCATCGGAGCCGGACTGTTTCCTGGGGCTGCGGATACACACCCGATGCAGGATCGTATGTACAGTCTGTCTTAAAAGTACCGCGCAAAGTGACGGTGGATCCATCGAGCCTGACTGAGCAAGGGTCTGCTAAATTTGGGTCACTGAAGCAACTGACATCCTTATCCATTCCCTAGGTCAATTGGTCGGTGACTTTTAAATTAAAACAGGCCCTTTCTCGGTCAGGCTTGATGGATCCACCGCCACTTTGCGCGGTACTTTTAAGACAGACTGTACTCCTTTACGAGTGGTCCCATTCTTGGGAACCAAACTCGCTCTCTTAGTGTTCTGATGGTGCTGGCTTCGCCAAGATGTCCATCACGCGCAAGCGCAATGATGTCCTGCTGTAGTTGTTGTGGTATCACCAACTGCTCGCATCTAAGCAGTAAACAAACCACCTGTCGCCGTGAGCTCATCAAACACCGCCTTGTATGGAGAGCACACCGTTGGGACTGCGAGCCACCGTCCAAAAGCAACGTAACTTGTCAACAGCAACGAAAAGAAGTCTGTTATTGCTCAGAGTTTGCTTTTTGAAGAATTAACAAGTGATACAGTACGTTAAGAAGGCAGCTGTATTCTTGAAACTGATTGTTTCGAGGCAGCTACCCAGAATCATTCAGTCTTTTCTCAGCTCTGTTTGATTTATTTTCTGTACCATAGATGGTACAGAAAATCCTGATCCGTCCCTGATCTATTACAGATCTGTAATAGATCAGAGACGGGCTCTGGGCACGAACTGTTTATTGGCGGCCTTGACCAACGGAGCGGGCACAGATATGGCAGCGGTACAACGGCTGCCATACGAAGGGAGCTTCCCCTATAACACTTCCTCCTCCGTTCCGGACTAGGGGTACCACCGGAACGAAGCAAACCAAACAAGCATTTGCATAACAAAAACAGAGCGCACTGAAACATCCTTCTCACAGCCGCTGCGGTCCCTGAGTAGGCCGTGGCCTCAAGTTGTAAGAATGACGCGGCCCGCCGGCTGGCCGCTCGGACTCCACCGGAGCCGCCGCCGCGGCCGGAGCGACCACCGGCAGAGGATCAGCCAGCGACACCTCATCCGCACCCGGCCGCCGGCGCACACCCGAACAATCACGGCGAACATGGTCGAGATGCCGCTGCACCACTCTACCGCAGTCTAACAAAACCGTCACCTTCACACTTGTCACCTCTAACACAACACCCGGCAACCAGGAAGCGCCGCCCGTCCCCTGTAACCTGGTTACTGCTGTCACCCACACTGCGTCCCCAACATTCACATGCCGGGATCGGGAACCTCTATCTCGATATAGTTTTTGGGACCGTTGTCGACTTTGCATCTCGAAAGAGAGATCCGGCCGTAGTCCATCAAAATGGGTACGAAGCGGCCGGTTCAAAAACAATTCCGCCGGCGACTTCTGAGTGGTCGTGTGCGGCGTAGTACGGTACTGAAACAGAAAACGAGCCACTCTGGTTGACACGGAACCCTTGTACATTGCAAAGCCCCGTTTGAAGGTCTGCACACATCGTTCAGCCAGACCATTCGATTTGGGGGCATACGGCGGTGACGTGACGTGTCGGATACCATTCATAACGCAGAACTGTTCAAACACAGGAGAAGTAAAACATGCCGCGTTGTCAGAACAGAGTACACGTGGCAGACCCCAAGACGCAAACGACATTCGCAGTTTATCCAATGTCACAGCGGTGGTCGCTACTTTAGTTGGATAAACATCAAGCCACTTGGAATGCACATCAATAATGACTAAAAACATCATCCCTTCCAGAGGACCACAGAAATCTATATGCACACGATCCCACGGACGAACAGGCCATTCCCAAGGGTGAATGGGGACGTTGGCGGGCTGGTTTCGTCGCTCATTGCACGCTCGACAACCGCTCACTACGCGCACGATATCGTCGTCCATTCGTGGCCACCACATAACGCTCGAGCCAGAGATTTTGTTCGACTCTCCCCCACATGTCCATCATGCAACAATTTGAGCAGCTTCTCCCGGGCCTGCGGCGGGATGACCATGCGTCCGCCCCACATCACACAGCCATCCTGACAACTCAACTCCCCAATACGCTGCTGGTACGGCCGAAACTCGGCAGGTAGTGCCGCGTCACGCGGCCAACCGTGCTGCGTATAACGCAAAACCGCTGATAGTAGGGGAGAGTGGGGTAAGATGCCCAGGGTGGGAAAGACGCCCCACCCCCTCTAGCGGCGAAACGAAGAATCGAACCTGGAAATTAATGTTCTTAGCGTAAAGCGGAAGCCTGCCTTGTTAACTGCACAAAAATTTGCGAAGCTCAGTTGGGCAACGGCTGGCTGGTGATTGCATGTTTTTTATTTGCTTCTTTCAAAAAATATTTTGGTGTCAAAACATTGTGAATATCAAAGAAGGTTAATAATTTTTATGTCCCTTGCTATGATCGTGATACATGAACATGCGTGTAGTGTGTCCCAAACAGTTTGTTTCAGAGTGTAGTTTTATGGCTAACTGTAAATGCCGAACAGTCATTTGCAAGTGGTTAGTGCGAAAGAAGGCTCGTCACG